CCAGCACAAGGAAAATTTCAGCCACAGATCTAGAATGAGCCATTTTTCATAGGGGAACGATTCCCAGATTCTTTGGCCAGAAGAGATCATTCTGACTATGCAGACGGAGCTCCTGCTTCACACTGGCCGGAGAACCAGAATCATTAAACACCTGGAGCAGAGGGAATGACTTTTATCACAGGGCAAGGGGTCCCCCTGCAGATCTCACATGTTGTGGAGACTGAGTGACATGACACACAGTTGCCCTGTTTGCTTCCAGAGTTTGGGGTCCCCACTTCTGAAAGCCTGGCCTACCGTTGTGATGTTTGATGCTGTCCCGAAGGCACGAAGGGGGAGAGAATTCTACGGGTCTGGCTCACTTCTCGGTTCAGTGAGGGCTAACAATGCAGGAGGTGGGGGGAAGGGAGGATTCAGACATCTTGGGCAGAAGGGTCTGATGTAGAAGGATGTTGCTCCTAGCTACAGAGAGAAAAAGTTTTCGGTCTGCCGGAAGGAAGCTTTTAAAAACACTCATTAGCAAGTGCGCAGCCTGTGGGAGCAGCCCGGGTTAGTGAGGCAGGAGAGGCTGGAAATCACAGCAGCGTCTTATCCCCATGCCCCATATTTGACAGGCAGAGCAGGAGATTAACAAGCTGCACTGGGAAGGGGGAAAGGTCATGCCAGGTCATGCCTCTGGTGATTTCCAGCTGCTCAGCTGCAATGGTACAAGGGCTGCTGCTGCCCTCTTTTCTGCCAGCCACCAGGTCATGCAGAGTACAAAGGGGGAAGGATCACTCAGTGGTTTGAGCATTGACTTACTAAAGCCACGGTTGTAAACTCAATCCTTGAGGGGACCATTTAGGGATGTAGGACAAATCGGTCAGGGATGGTATTTGGTCCTACCATGAAGGCAGGGGACTGGACTTGATAACCTCTCAAGGTCCCTTCCAGCTCTATGAGATAGGTATATCTCCATGGGTGCATCTAGACTGGCAAGATTTTGTGCAAAAGAAACCGCTTTTGCACAAAAACTTGCCAGCTGTCTACACTGGCCGCTTGAATTTGAGCAAGAGCACTGACTTTGTAATGTACAAAAATCAGTGCTTCTTGCGCAAATACTTTGACGCTCCCGCTCAGGGATAAGCCCTCTTGTGCAAGAATACTTGCGCAAGAGGGCCAGTGTAGACAGGCACCTTAATTTTTTGCGCAAGAAAGCCCGATGGCTAACATGGCTATCGGAGCTTTCTTGCGCAAAAGCGCGTCTAGACTGGGCACGGATGCTTTTGCGCAAAAGCTTTTGCGCAAAAGCATCCGTGCCAATCTAGATGCGCTTTTGCGGAAATACTTTTAACAGAAAAACTTTTCCGCTAAAAGTATTTCCGCGAAATCATGCCAGTCTGGACACAACCCATATAGATTTTTAAAAAAAGGAGCTTCTCACAGGGTGAGGCATCCAGCTGGGGTACAGGAAGCAGACTCCTTATGGTCTGAAATTAAGCCCTGCATTCTGGTGCCATCTCCACTGCCAGCACCTGGTCCTAATGCTCCTTTCCCTGGAGCACTGGGAAATCTCCCCACTCAGCCCCCCAGAGGTCTGAGCCTCCCTTGTCTGCTACATCCCTTTGACACCCCAAGCAGAGATGGGCAAGGCGCTCCTGAGGGATTTCTCTAAATGACCCTTTTCTCACCGACACTCCCCTTGCAGGCTCCATCAGGAGAAATCGGAGACTGGCTCTGTTTGCCTCGCGACCCTGGAGGCACACGCGACCCTGGCTGTGAGCCGCATTGGGGTGCTCCTTGGAACACTGAAATGCTTTGTCCCAACCCTCCTGCGCAGCTCCACCCCGAAACCCACTCTGTGAACCATCCTACTGGAGCCCAGGATGCGGCCAGTGGGGGGCGTTGCTTGCTATGGGTCAGGGGTACCCAAACTTTTTGACACAGGGACCAGTAAATCCATTCACAAACTTTTGGAGGACCGGTAACATTCATTTGCATATTCCTTAATCAAATGATGAATATTCAAATAAGTTGTTTCTGGTCCTCCCAAAGCCCCCAGTGCCAGTTTTAGCAAAGCTTTTGATACGGTCACCCACAATATTCTTGCCAGCAAGTTAAGGAATATGGATTGGATAAATGGAGTGTAAGGCAGACAGAAAGCTGGTTAGACCAGGGTTTCCCAAACTTTTTACTTTAGTTTGAACCCTTTTTTTTCCGTACTGTTTTTTGCAGCCCCAAAATATAAACACATAAAAAACAAACTGAGAAAATACCAGTCATATTCAATGTCTGGTATTTTCTCATTAGGTAAGTTTTATTATTACTAGATGTATCAGTTTGTAGTTTCAAACTGCCTGGCTGGTAAATGTGTTCAGACTGTATGAGTGTGTCTACCAGCCAGACAGTTCACAACTACTCGAGGGGGTGTGGAGAGTTGCAGGGGGCACAACAGAATCCCCGGGCCGGACTCACTCGTGCTTTGCAGGGGAGGAGGAAGGGTGGCAGCGCCCCGTCTCCCAACCCCCTCCCAGACATCCAGTTCTCCCCCACTTCTCCTCCCAATCTCCTTTGGCCAATCACAGGATCATAGAATCAAAGAATACTAGGACTGGAAAGGATCTCGAGAGGTCATCGAGTCCAGTCCCCGGCCCTCATGGCAGGACCAAGTACTGTCTAAACCATCCCTGATAGACATTTATCTAACCTACTCTTAAATATCTCTACAGATGGAGATTCCACAACCTCCCTGGGCAATTTATTCCAGTGTTTGACTACCCTGACAGTTAGGAACTTTTTCCTAATGTCCAACCTAAGCCTCCCTTACTGCAGTTTAAGTCCATTGCGTCTTGTTCTATCCCCAGAGGCCAAGATGAACAAGTTTTCTCCCTCCTCCTTATGACACCCTTTTAGATACCTGAAAACTGCTATCGTGTTCCCCCTCAACCTTCTCTTTAATAAACTAAACAAACGTAATTCCTTCAGCCTCCCTCATAGGTCATGTTCTCTAGACCTTTAATCATTCTCGTTGCTCTTCTCTGGACCCTCTCCAATTTCTCCACATCTTTCTTGAAATGTGGTGCCCAGAACTGAACACAATACTCCAACTGAGGCCTAACCAGCACAGAGTAGAGCAGAAGAATGACTTCTCGTGTCCTGCTTACAACACACCTGTTAATGCATCCGAGAATCATGTTTGCTTTCTTAGCAACAGCATCACACTGCTGACTCATATTCAACTTGTGGTCCACTATAACCCCTAGATCCCTTTCTGCCATACTCCTTCCCAGACAGTCGCTTCCCATTCTGTATGTGTGAAACTGATTGTTCTTTCTTAAGTGTAGCACTTTGCATTTGTCTTTATTAAACTTCATCCTTTTTACCTCAGACCATTTCTCCAATTTGTCCAGATCATTTTGAATTAT